AAAAAAAAAAAAAAATCATCAGTTAGAGTTGTATTCTTGTTTCTTTGTCTTCACATTTCTTCAACTTCCTTTTAAAGTTGCAAAGCGAGGAGTAAACCATCCTGTTCTGTGTCTACTAACTTAACCAAGTGTTAATAGTAATAATGATACTAACCAATTATTGAGCAACTACTGTGCATAACATAATTTGGGTATTAAATACACTTTCTTTATTTCCCAGAACTCAGTGAGGAAAACAACTCATTTATAACATTGTTTCCATCCCTGGTGATCTAGTGGTTAGGAAAAAAGGGAAAAAAAAAACATTGTTTCCAGAGGAAAATATTTTATAATATTTCTAGGAATGCACTGAGACAAAACCCAGGCAAAAAAACTGCTCATGTAGAAACTTTCTAATCTGAACTCTTTAATTTTTAAATCTAAGGTAAGGAAAAGAAAATAGATGTTAATTATATATTTTTTTTCTTTTTAGGCATGAAAATTACACCTAAAGAAAACAATTTGCCAGAATCAGATGATATAATGAGTTTTCAGTCACGCATGACTATAAAACCCACATGTGAAATCTTTCCTAAGCCAAATTCCAAGTTAAACTTGGAAATTTCTCCTGATTCTACATTACCACAGGAATCTATTTCTGCCTCATTGAATAGCTTGTGTTTACCTGAAGATGCTTCCTGTTTGAATACACAAAAACAACAGTTCATATCTTCTCCAAGACCTTTGGCTATACAGCAAATTAAAGCTGTCAATAAGTCTTTAACTTCAGAACACAGTCAACCCAGTACCTCATCTCATAATATGTCTGTGATTGCTGATCTACACTTGAGTACCATTGACTGGGAAAGTACTTCTTTTAGTAATTCTCCAGCTATTCAAAGGAACACATTCTCTCATGGTTTAAAATCAGAACTTGATTCAGAGCTATCAGTCATCCCCGATGACTTTGAAAATATCCCAGAACAATTGTTATGTGAATCAGGAACATGCACCACAAACAGCAATAAAGTGTTGGATTGGGATCTTCATAAGATTAGTCCTGAAGAGCATCTACTTTCTGGCATTAGAGATTTATATCTTCAGGATTTGCCTTTAAAGGAACGAATATACATAAAATCATCATATACTCAGGATAATGTACAGCCAGATGTCAACCTGAAACCATCCCTACTCAGGGTAAAAGAATCTGGCACTGGTAATAGTAGTTCTGATTGTCCATCTCGTCTTTCAAAGGATCTTCCAGGAATTCATTTGCAAAATGAATCCAGAAACTCTAAAGTTCTAAAAGGAGACCATGTGCTTCAAGGAAACTATAAAGTCAATACTTCTATACCTTATTTTAATAACCCAGTTGTGAAGACCTCCACCGTTACAGTTGGGCCACCAAATACTGTTTTAGATCACAGAAGAAAAATTGATATGCAAAACACTCAGAAAATTGTAATGAAGAAAAGTGTTTGCCTTGACAGACATTCGTCTGATGAAGAAAGTGCCTCAGTGTTTGGGAAAGCTAAGTACAAAACTCGAAAAGTGAAGCACAGATCTCAGAAGCATAATCCAGCCCAATTCAAAGAAATTGACCACAAGTCGAGTAGCCCTAAGATACATATCAAAGAAACTGAACAGTATGTCAGGTCTTATAAAGCAGCTGGAAATGAAGAAAACTGTTTCCAAGATCCAGCAAAAAGTTCTCTGAGTTTTCTACAATGTCATAAGAAAGAAGACAACTCTAGTACTTGTTTGGATAGTCCTCTTCCTTTAAGCCAGAGATTAAAACTAAGGTTTCAAAGCACTTGAAATGCAATTGAAAATACTTAAGTATAACTTATTATTCTATACCATCAGCATTAGCAGAGGCAGAGGGAAGGTGTCTAGTTAATGTTTGGTAGAAAAATTTAATGTTCTATGTGTCATGAAACA